AAAAAAAAAACGGGGGTGGGGAGGGGGTGGGGGTGAGAGAAAGGCTGGAGCCCCGCCTGAGAGTGCTGTAAATCTCGTCAGTCCGCTGGTTTATGGGAGCTGGAGCTGCCTGCTCGCCTGGGGCCCTCGCGCTCGGGTCCCCGCGAGCACCCTCCGTTCCCCCAACCACGATTGCCGTCGTCACCCCCAGAGTGCCAGGGGTTCCCTAGATGCCCGGACCGCAGTGAGGCTCGGCACCTACAGCCGAAGGCGCCGCTCTTGCTCCTTGTCACTGGCAATAGCAGCCAAGCGCCTCGGATTCTTCTGGGGAGTTGAAAAAGGAGCTAAGGTTTCACTACTAAAGAAAAAAATAAAAACGGGAACTTTATGCCAGCGCAACCTGGTCGTGCCCTAGTGCTGCTCATCCACACTCTCTAGCAGCACTTTGGGGGAATCCACACTCTCTAGCAGGACTTTGGGGGAATTAGCTTAGATCACCACTAACCCTTCCCCCGCTTCCTCTCCCCACCCCCACATACACATACACACAATCCTCTCACCTCGCATCCCATATATCCCCTCCCCTAACCCCCATGCCTGTATCTCCCTCTCCTAGTCTAGCTGCCTGGCCTGTCTTGGGGAGGAGGGTGAAATAGTTCGGACCACACAACTCAGACGTTTTTTCCCCATAGCTTCCTTTCTCTGGCTTTTTGTCTTTTCAGATTTGCAGATGTCCCAATGATTTGAGGGTTGGAAGGTGGGAAGGGATTCTTGGGAGGGAGGGGAGTGGGACATGGGATTTGGGCAGCCAGGAATTTTCTTTTCTTTCTTTCTTTCTTTCTTTTTTTTTTTTTTAAGCTGAGCCATCCTGCCACCTGTTGGCAGCTCAGAGGCTGCTCAGCTCAGGCCGGGACTCGAACCGCTGTTGCTCAGAGCTCAAACTCTTGAGCGAGCTCTTAACCAACTGAGTCACTCAGCCGGCAGGAATTTTCTTTTTTTAAACAATTATTTATTTTAGTTACAATTGACATTCAATATTATTTTATATTAATTTCAGGTGTACAGCATGGTGGTTAGACATTTATATAATTTATGAAGTGATCCCCTGACTAGCACTATACATAGTCGTTGCGGCATTTTTTACTATATTCTCTATGCTGTACCCTACATGCCCGTGATTATTTTGTAATTACCAGTTTGTATTTTTAATCCAGAAATGTTCTTGACAAAAAAAGCAGACTCAGTAGTCTAAACTGAGTGGTCACAGGCTGTGCAGTTAAAACTTCAGGAAAACGGTGCCTTATGTCAGGTAGTTTTCGAGTTTACCATGACCAGATTAAGACCATCCAGCAACACACGTGTGTAAAGTTTTTCAGAAATCACATTCAGATTCTATTTTATTGAACTTGTGTTGGTTTTCATGTGAAATTGGGAGTTTGGTAAATTCATGTGGTTTTCCATGATGTCTGTGGATTTGGACTTTATATTTACCTTGATATGAGGTGTCTAATTCTTAGCCACCCACTGAACAAGCTTCCTGAAGTTCCCTAAATGTTACTGGGGCTGGCAGCATGTAGCAAACTGTTTCACTCCTGCTGGAGTGGGTGAGCAAATATTTGTTGAACAGAGGCTTTAATCTGCTGGGCCTTTCTCCCACCAAGGTTCACCCTCTGTTGCAGAGACTGGAAGATGAGGCCCTTGGCAGGCCCAGGAGATTTAGGGGGACGGGGTGGGTGGAGGGAAACCTATGCCAAAAAAAAAAGAAAAAGAATTTTGTCTTTCCCTCTCCTTGGAGCATAAACTTAAAATGCCTGAGTGTCCACATGCTCAGGAGAGCTAATCATGCTCTTGACAAGCTAATCAGAGTTATCTAATAACCCATCTGAGTGGTCACAGATTCCAGGGGTGGATGTTGTATTGTTCAGCAGCTATAAAATGTAACTGGACATGGGAGGTACCACAAGGAGAATAAATAAGGACCTTTTTTCAGTTAAAAGAAGGCAAGTATGAAAAGATCCTTGGAGTCTGATTTTTAAAATGCAATTTAAAAATAAATCCGAGAAATACTATCGGTAAAAAAAGCCCAGGAGCCTGTGGTTCCGCCAAGTTCTCATTGTCCTCCCTGGGAGAGCCTTCTAGTTTGAGAGGACAGCAAACACCAACCGTGCTGTAGAAGTCCAGAAGTTTCTCTTTTAATGAGCTTGGCGAAACTCCACGCCAATTAATCTGGAGAGAGTTTAGAACACAGAGGTAGGACTGAAACAATTGTTCTGTTGTGGTTTTTATTTTGATAAGCAAGGACTGTATCTCTGAAATCCTCTGGGCCTATTGCTGAACCCATTCCTGTAGGTTTTTTGTTTGTTTTTTTTTTCTTTTTTAACAGATGTTGTTTTTTACCTTTCGAATGGGAAGGGTTATCTCACTCATTAAAACCTTGCTATTGTGCTTTGTTTCAAGGGCCTGCCGACTTAAGGAATGCTGAGGGACGCTCACTTGCCAAGGCCAGCAGCCCGAGGAGGGCGAGGTCAGTCTCCAATACTTGGATATCTGCTTTAAACGCTAAGTGTCATTTAAAAAGTACAGGAACTACCCCAATACTCAAACCTTGTCAGTTATCTTGATTTGAATTTGTGGTCCCTTGTTTAAAGTTTGGATTATCACCTTAAGTTTCTTTAATTAAACATAGTTTCCAAAGACTTTCTGTAGATAATATAGTTGGGAACAGCCTGGCCAAACTGGCAAAGATGATCAGACCACTAAATACCCTTGTAGCTTGCTGCTTATTGCTTATCTCTCTATAGCTTACTTATTAAGCTCGTTTCATCTATATGGAAGCGAAAGAATTTAGATACTATTATGAAGAGAAACCAAGATATATTTCAAAGAGAGAGAAGAGAGAGAGAAAGAGAGAGAGAGAGGGAAGAACTATACTCATGTGTAGGAAGAAGAGTTATTGCTGGTTATCTCTCTCCATGGGGTTATTGGAGACTTTTTCTTTTTGCTTAAACACTGAATTTTGTAGTGTTTACTTCTAGGGTAACTTCCTATGACTTTATAAATTAGAAAATAAGGAAAAATGTGAGAGTTATATGATATTATGAAATAATTTAAACTGACATTTTTATAAAACCTTGGCTCTTTTATTCTAAAGATATTTAAAAATAAAACTAGTGTATTATAAGTCTAATAGACTTAGGAATCTTTACATGTGGAGTTTAACATACTTGATGATAGTGGAATTAAATTCTAACCTATTATAAGTTTCACAATTACTTTTGCAAATATCTAAAAAAATTCCAGAAGATTTGAAAAATCTTATCTAATTTCAGTCCTTTTCTTAATGACTGCTAATGTTTCAGAAATGTTAATGAGGTACTTAGGCTTTCATGAAAATGAGGTGAGGTCTCCAAAGCATACTTGTGTGACAGAATTTAAAGGTGAAAGAGAAGACGAGACAGAGAGAGAGAGAGAGAGAGAGAGAGAGAGAGAGAGAGGGAGGGAGGGAGAGAGAGAGAGAGAGGTGTTAACTCAAGTTGGGGGGGAGACAAAAAAGAGAAGTTAGAAGAGAAATATTTATGGAAAAAACAAAGTGCATAATATTTTCTTCTCTTTCTCTCTCCTTTTGGATCAATGCCTTAACACCGACCCAACCCAGTAAGATTAGAGTTCCAGGATCCTTTTGATCTTAGACCCAAGTTCGTTCGTTCTCTGTCTCTCTCTCTCTCTTTTGGTCACCTTATAAAAACAACTCAATGATGGTTACCCTACAAAAATTATTGCTTCACAGATTAAATATGCTTTTTATGTCTTACAAGATTTTAACAACTTGAGGGCCCTGGCAGAGCTGGCCATTCTACTACGTGGTATGGTAATGACGTTGTATGAGAACTTACTGTTCCAGAACTTAAACGGGAATTGTTGAGCTCTTTATTTAATTATTAAGACTGAGAAGGGAAATGACAATCCTATTGCTCATAATAAAATGCATAGCTCTTTATAAAAAATAAAAAAAGAGCTATAGAATGCATTAAAAGTCCATGCATCAATTAGCAGCATGCTCCATTCTGGTTTGTTTTATGTCTTGACTGTTTACCTCTTGTTTAAAGAAAGTATTTTGTTATATATTAATCATAACATTAGACAGAAAAATTGTCAGTGGAAGAAATATTTACAGTGAACTGCCAACAATTTGAGGGACTAATTACATCTTAAGTATGGAATGCCAGTGAATACAGCTAAGTTTTAGGTTTTCTAGAGGAGTAACAATGTCTAATCAAGACCTTTAGAATGCCATTTATAATCTTGCATTAGATTTTATCAGCAGAACATGTAATTTTAGGCTTACTGCAAATACATTAAGAATCTCTGTAGCAGGTAAGACACATGCACCATATACTAGACCCTTAGAACCTTTTGTGACTTACTATTCATTTATTCTTAAGTGTTTCTTTTATTCTCAGTGAGTCTTGCAAATGTAATATATTTTCAAAGATATATTTTCCTAATCCTACCTATGCAACTCCTTGTTTCTAAAAGTGCTTTTTTCTGATGATGAAATAATATTAAGTTAAATATATAAAAGTGCTAACATTTGACCATTTTTTTTACCTGCAAAATGGCGACTTCATATGGTTCCATCTAATGCATTTCATGACAAAACCTCATAAAATACAGTAAAGTGTAAATAAGGACATTAAAAACAAAAACAAAAAAAAACCTGAGACTCCAATACCACTGTTGATATTTTGGTGTTTCCTTTGGTGTGTTCCCCAACCCCGATGCATATGCATGTAAATGAAATCGGTATTACACTGAATCTATGGTTTTGTATCCTGTTTTTATAATTTAACATGGTACCATGAGTATTTCTCTGTGCCCTTATATATTTGAAAACATAATTTTATACATGTTATGCATATTATAGTCTACCATGTGGATGCACCAGAATTTTTTTAACCATCCTTTAAATTGACAGTCTATTTTTTTATTTTCATAATTAAAACTTGGATAAATATCCTTATGTAAAATTTTTCTGTATCTCCAATTATTTCATTAGGATGGCTCCTAAGAAGTAAGATGATTAGTCCATAAGGTTTCATATTTTTAAAGGTTTTATAACATATTAATTACTTTTAGGGAAGGAAATACCCATTTATACACAGATACCCCCCAACACACATTCATATACCTACAAATAAGAGAACTTCCATAGCTCATCATGCCCTAACCAAAAACAAATAGTGCTTCCTAAAAGCTTCACTAATTTGATAAGTGAATAATGGCATTTTGGTTTAATTTACATATCTTTAATTATAGGTGAGGTGAACATTTGTTCCATATTTTTAAATGGGATATTTGTCTTTCCTTCATTAATTTTCAGTTCATAGTCTAGGTGAATTTTAAAAAGGAAGACAAGTTCTGGTTGATTTAATGAGCTTATTAACATTTTGGTTCATTTAACTGTCTTGGCAGCCTTATAACTGTAAATAGGAGAATAAATTTTTTTTTAATTAAAGCTTATTGGGGTGACAGTGTTTAGTAAAGTTATATAGGAGTCAAGTGCACAATTCTGTAATACAGCATCTATATATCTCATTGTGGGAGGATGGAATGGTACCTGTTAAGTAACATTCATCTGCGAGTCTCAGCCTCTAATGAAGAGAATGCCCATAATTGAAATAACACCATTTAGACTATGACATCCACCGGGGAGGGTGCCGATGGATCTTGTGTGTCTTTATGTTCTCTGGCACAGAGCCCAGTGCCTGGCTCATTCAGTGCAGAATAAGTATCCTTGACCAAGTTAAGTTGGAATCAGTGTGCAACACCGATGCTCTGGGACTCCTGGGATGGAGAATTGCTAGATGGTGTCCTCCCTGGCCTCCCCGGCCCCCAGTACGCACCTCCTCCTCTGCTCAGTATGTGGCCATTTAGCCCTGCTCTCTTGGTTGACCTCTGTATGGGTGCTAATGAGGCCAAGGTCAGAGGCTCTATCTTCCTATGACCTATTTAGCTTTGTTCTGTGTCATGGCCACAAGCTGTATCCTTTTCACGGTGGCCAGCTGACTCAGAAATGCATGTAGTTCCTCTCAAGGGAGAATATGCTGGAGAGAGGGGCAGGTTTCTAGAGCAGAAGGACCCCGAAGAACCTTTAGTTAAAACTTCTTATTTCACTTTTTTTAGGAGAAGATGGAAACCAGAAGAGGGTCTCCCCTTCCCTCTTGCTCAGTGTTTTAGGGTCAGTTCAACAAACAACAACAGAGAGAAGATAGAAATTCATCCCTATAGTGAGGATATGGACAACTCAACTCCATGCTTAAATGCACATGGGGTGCTGACAACTCTTTCCCAATTTTATCATCCCTTCCATGTGAATATAAACGATATGGCTAATATTTAAAGACCATAGAAATCTACTGCACAATAAGATTAAGTGGCCTCATTCAGGTTCTTTGGAAAAGACAAATAATCCGATGAAAATCTATTTGAAAATGATTTTGGAAAAAGAAAATTTTGGGCAAATAGGTTGGTTAAACCAAAGTCAAATTGCCTGTCATCTTTTCCAACCAATAGTTATTTCCAATTTCTGTATTTCTCTTAGTGAAAAGACCATTATCATAGTCAATAAGACTGAAATCCATTATATTTCTTGAAAATTACTCTTATTATGCCTTTTTTTTCTTATTGCCTCTGCTATCACCTCTGCACATTACAATAGAAGGGACTCATGACTACTTGTCCCCACATTTGTCCTTGTTCTGACCACTTTAGTCCTCTACTTTCCTCCCAGATTCTCTGTGGAGCAGTCTTTTTCCCTTGCTTGCTGAAAATCTTTGTGGTTTCCCACTGTGTGCTCAAATGAAGTCCAAATTCTATTAATGTTGCAGATAAGAGTATTTCTATATATATAACTTTTTTTAGAATTTATTTTTTTCTGAAAGTTACTCCTTTCCCATTTTTTTCATAGACGTAGTTTGTCTGCTTTTCAGTTTAACACAATGAGTTTTATGATAGCCCTGTGTTACTGACAAAGAGCCTGAAACCCAAAATGATCAAAGAGGTCTGCTGAACATCACGAAGCGATTGCATGGTGTATTTGTGAATGAATCATACTACCAATTGTTTACAAATTCATATGAGTATTGCTCTCAAGACATTACAGTCAATTGAGGCATCAACCCTCACGTGTGTGTGTGTGTGTGTGAGCATGTGTGCACACACATGCATGTGTGAATAATGTGTGTGTGAGCATGTGTGCACACACATGCATGTGTGAATAATGTGTGTGTGTGTGTGTGTGTGTTTGGTGTGTATAGGGAAAGAAGCATCTAGAAGAGCCATCCTACTCTCAGAGAATAAAGAAGAACTTTTTCCTTTTAAATATATAGTTTTTTATTTTACTGTCACCATGCATTCTGTCTTTTCTTGTTCATTAGTTTGTAAATTGGGAAACTTTTGTTGCTATTAAAAAAGCAAATATAGGTGGGTGAGCCTAAAGTAGCAGCACAGGCTTTGAAGCTAGCC